GCTGTCTAAGGTCTTGCCAACAACAGGAGGTGGCGGAAACATTAGATAGATCTGGTGTGGAGACACAGTACAACAACACTGAGGAGCAACCTGCTTGACTTAGCCTGGCTGGGTGAGGGAGCGACTCATTCATGAGCTATACACACTTAGAAGTGAACTTGGAGGGGGAGCTAGATGGCACAGTGGATAGAGCTCTGGGCTTGGAGTCAGGAGGCCCTGAGTTCAAATCTGCCCTCAGACACTTGACACTTATTAGCTGTGTGACCCTGGGCAAGTCACTTAACTCCGATTGCCTAACTTAAAAAAAAAAAAAACTGAACTTGGTACAGAATTCATAAAGGGAGAAAAGGACTTCCAAGGCCAGAAATTTCTGTGCCTCATCCCTCCCCACCCTGAGTTGGAGTGGGAAATGTTTTACAGTGATCACTTTAAGTTTGAGTCTACTTTTCCTAGGGAACAAGTGGGCATATAGAGGGGAAATTTTATACATCAGTCTTTTCTATACTTTCTCAGTTAATATTCCTTTGTAAAAACTAGATTAGGTTAACTGGTTAATTAATATTAGGGAGATGTTAACTGGCTTAAAGTATACTGATGGGAGCTCATGAACAATAATATTATAAAACCTCCAACCCCTCAGAGTTATGGCTAGAACTCTGAAGGAGTAGCACTAATCACTCTCTAAGGACCCAGTCCACTGATGTAGAAGTTGGGAAAATAGCCCCAGAAAGGATGCTATAACTATAAGAAAGCAGATTTCAAAAAGTTCATTGAAAAGATAGACTTGATACTCTCTCCAGAAATTCTGAAAGAGAAGATGACTCAAGAAGAATGAGGGAAAAAAACCTGATGGCAAAATTACAAATGATCCCAATAAGAATAAAAAGAAGAGGTAAATAAAAATTCTGTATAGAAAATATAAATCATAGGATCAAAGTTTTAGAGCTGAAAGGGACCTCCGAGGTTATCTAGTTCAACTCCTTTATTTTACAAATGAGGAAACTGAGTCTCAGAGAGGTTAATTAGACTGCCTATGATCATAGAGAAAGTCTTAAAGTGCCTGAGGCAGTATGTGAACTCAGGTCTTCTTGATTCCAGCTAGATCATTTATGTAAAGTGCTTTGTAAGTCATAAAGGCACTACAAAATGCCATTACCATTATCACTACCATTGTTGTTAGTGTTCACAGGGAGCAATTTGATAAAATCAAATTTTAAAATGATATGTGCAAAAAATACAAGCAAGAATATTTAACTGAGGACAAATATTGTGAGGACAAAAAATTGGGTCAAGAAACTTAAAGTTCAGAGTGTGATGAGGCTTGCAAAAAATGGTAAGGAGACCCAAAAGAGATTTTAAAGCTTTGTCCAGCACTGACATGACATAGTCACTATAGCAGTTGGTTCTACTTAACTGTATTTCTTTGTTATATTTAGAGGATTCTATTCCAGGGTGAATGAATGAATGAAAAAGCATTTATTAAGCATTTACTATGCGCTAGGCACTAGCAAAAACAAATGTATAGGACAGTCCTTGCCCTCAAGGGATTTAAATTCTAATTGGGGGAGGGGGGGAGGAAGAGACAACACCTATTGGGCAATGGTGGCCCGGGAAGAGTGTTTTAGTCTGAGAGGTATCTGGGAGATCACAAGGATAGTGAGTGAAACAAAAAAAAACAATTGACTGACATGACCTTTTCAGAAGTAATTGTGGGCTCAGATCCTTATAATCTAGCCAAGGCTGGGATTCTTATAATCTAGCCAATAGCTTACTAATGTTCAGACTCCTTAAGAGTCTGCCCAATATGACAGATGTTCTAATAAACCTTGTCTTTGGCTGAACAAAAAAAGAAGTAATTGTGGTGTTAAAAACAACAAAGATCAATTTGTGTATTGTACACATCCATGCACAAATATATTTAAGGCAAAAAAAGGAAAAGTAAAGGATAAGTCCCACTGTGTGGGACAGATGTTACAAGGTTAAGAGAGGGTGGAGGAGGGCAAGCATATTTCCCCTCCTCAAATCTTCTGATTGAAAAGTAGAATGAAAAATAGTCAAGCAAGAACTGAAGCCCAAGAGAAGGGGGTGCATAGTAAAGAGCACATAACTGCTCTAAATGAGTTCCAGTCACTTGGCTGTTTTAATCAAAGATATCATCTTGGACCACCAGCTTGCACTGTGCCTACCAGCTTCAATGGTGCTAGTAGAGGTTAGCAATCCTGTATCAGTGCTTTTAGGAATCCTCCAAAGAATAACGATTCACATATACAAATTACATATTACGGAATCCAGCCAAAACCAAAGGAGCAGGATTCCTAAAGGAACAGAGCCAGGAGAGATAAGAGAATGAGCTTGTAACATAAGTCATGAGAATTGGAGATCCAGGTAGGAAAGAAGAATATTATGTCAACAAAGCTGGGTAAAAATAAACAGAACAGAATTGACTAATAAGCCAGTCTAGGGAAATGTAGATAGGCGGATGGAAAGTCAAAGGTGAACTACAGATCAATAGGGATCAGTAGACGTCAGTACCCCTTGATAGTTGGCCTAAGTCCATCAACTTCCTTAGATTCTTAATGGACCAGTGGCTTGCCAAACTAGGACTTGGCGTGAACTTGGACAAATTTCATTCCAGGGTATTGAAAGAAGCTGCAGGATATTACAAGAATTGAAAACCAGATCATGAAGATCACCTGAAGAAACTAGGCATGTTTAGCCTGGAGAAGAAAAGACTTTGATGGAACATGATTATTGTTACTAAGTATTTGACAGACTGCTACTCAAGAACAATTAGGAATATTTTGCATGGTTCCAGGAGGGAAGAACTAGGACTGATGGATGGAAATCACAGGGAAAAAAAAGAAATCCTTAATAATCAGAACTATGGGAACATGCAATTATTGGGCAGTGAATTTCCTATCTTTAGAGATATTCTGACAAACTACATGACCACTTGTTAGAAATTTGGGAGGAAAGGAATTCGTGACTTCTAAAATTCCTTCCAATTCTGAGTCTATGATGCTATGAATTGGAGGCACACTTCAAATTGGCAAATTGCTACACGACTTGCATTGCAATGGTTTCCAGAACTCCACAGAACATTAGAGCGGGGGGGGGGGGGGGTGAGGGCAGGAAGGACATAAAGATTATCTAATTCAATCCCCCCCCATCTCATTTTTGCAGATAATCTAAGGTGTGGAGTAGTGGCATGATTTGCCTAAGGTTATGCAACCAGTAAATGGCAGAGCTGGGATTTGAACCCAGGTCTTTTATATCCCTGTGCTGTTTCCATAAGCGCTCATCTTCCTCCAGGTTGCTTTAGTAAGGACTACTTTGTACTCCTGACTAAATTTTGTAGTTATCTTTCAATTTTTCCTTTTCATTTTGCTCCTCTCCTCATGTCTGTTTAAATACATTTTTTTTGTCTGTTGGAAAGAAATTGTCAAACCTTTCTTTTTGGAATATACATTCTTTTCTTTATGTCCAATTATTGCTCCTGATCCTAGGTAATGGATTCTGGTCCCTGAGGTCTCCCACACAAACTGAATGATGATACTTTGGTAAATACTGACACAAGTAAGACTGCCAATGTGGTGCTAAATTAAAATTTGGCTTCAGACACTTATTAGCTGTATGACTTGTGGGCAAGTCACCAAACTTCTGTTTGCCTCAGTTTCCTGTAAAATGAGGATAATAATAGTGCCTATCTCCCAGAGTTGTTGTGAGGATCAAATGAGAAAAGATTTGTAAAGTTCTTAGCACAATGCCTAGAGCATAGTAGGTGCTATCATATCATGCATATTAATGGTAGCTGCTATTATTATTAATTCAATGAATATTTATTACTTGCACTGGACACGCCGTGTACTTAATATGAAATAAAATGAAATATTCATGAAAATGAAATGATATGTCATTTCATTCAAAAATGAAATAAAAAAATTAAATAGTCTTTAACCTCAAGTAGTATCATTCCCTTGGTGTAACATAATATGTTCACAGATAAGTAAATACAAAACACAAAAATACAAAAATAAAACAAATAAGGTTTTGAGAAGCAAGAGAGTTAACAGGCACAGGTTTGGGGATTGATGGCAAGGAAGGTTTCTTGTGGTACCTGAGCTGAGCCTTAAAGGAAGATAAGGATTCTGTGAGGCAGAGATGAAGGGAAAAGGAAAGGATTATGCATTTATTGATGAGGGGAGTACATTATTGGCACAACGGACAGGTTAGGGATAATAACATATTGCCCTGCAGCCATCTTCCTTTGGAGAAAGGGACCATCATCCCTGCCCCACCACCACGAGCGGCCAACCAACTGCCTCCAATGTGCAGGTAAACCCAAAAAGCCTGGGGACAGCCATCCCTCCCCCACAACCACCACCTCTGCTTCCCACCTCCCCGAAGCCATCATCCAGGAAAGCAATCCTGGGTAGAAGAACCCTGACAACTGTCTCCATAGTTGGTATAGATTCCACTCCCTCAGAAGTCACAGCCACTGAAGACCTACAAAAGATAGTTCTTACCACCAAATCCTTGGAAACATCAAATGGTTCAACATCAGAAACACATAAAGTTTATGTCCTTTGCCACTACATTTCTAAGGAACACTGGGCCTTCCCATCTGACATCCTGTATGTGCTGTCTCCCCAGTCTGAATGTGAGCTTCCTGAGACATGGGAAAGTGCTTTTCTATTTGCATCCCTGGCACTTTGTACATAGTAAGCCCTTAATAAATGCTAATTCATTCATTGACTTCATGTTACCAAGTAAATTTGTTCCCAACTGAGAGTAGAGAGTATGAACTACAGGCTCCTCTTTAATAAATGTGCCTTCCTGATGAGTCTTCCTGACACCTGTCCCTTTTTCCTTATTTTGGCAACAGAATTCCTTATGTTCTGAAATAACTTCTACAAAGGCCACAGTGGCAAATGAAACTCTTCATTCATTAATTCCCTGAAATAACATAACTTCTTTTTTAGAGGTGGGGGTGGTCTTACCTTGAAGAACTAGACCAGCTTCCTCGATGGCATAATTGAACACAGAGAATGGAGCAAGTGGTGACTTGGCAATGACAATCTGTACACAAGCACATTGTCCAGAGTTAGTTAAAGGAATGTCTCAAACCTGGGTTTCTTAGATCAATGCTTTGTTCAACGGCTAAAGAGCAGTACTGAGAAATAGAAAGTGATGACATTGTTATTGTTTTTTTAAATAAACATACCAGAACTTTTACCAGCAGACCAGGGGTTGAACTCAGACCCAGACCTAGGCTGGCCAGACCCCCCTGCTAAATGGGGAGATCATAACCTATGATCTTACTTCACCTCTATCTACTCACCATTGGAGGATGAGCTATAGCAAGCAGGTCAGGTAGAGGCCTAGGTGTGGCCCAGTGACTTCTGAAACACCCCTGGGAGACTGAGCTTTACTATTCACTTGCCATCCAATATGACCTCAGTGGCTTTTCCTGTTCTCTCTCTATCCCTGTAATAGGGTGTAGTGGATAGAGCTGGCTCTGAAATCAGGAAGACTCATCTTCCTGAGTTCAAATCTGGCCTCAGACACTTACTAGCTCTGTGGCTCTGGACAAGTCACTTAATACCATTTACTTCAGTTTCCTCATCTATAAAATGATCTGGAGAAGGAAATGGCAAACACCCCAGTATCTCTGCCAAGAAAACCCCAAATGGGGTCATGAAGAGTCAGACATAACTGAATGACAACAATCTCTGTAATATCAAACGAAACTATCAAACTTTTATCTCCCCCTCTCTCATCCTATCCTCCTCAACTCTACCCCACCATGTCTCACTCCAACCCTGCCCACTCTTTCCCCTATGCCATCTGGAATTCCTGTACTATAAAGAACGCAATTCCCTTCCTTCTGGACCTCTTTCTCTCACCCTATGTACGTCTCCTAGCTCTCCCTGAGAAGTGACTCTCCCCAACCACTCTATATCCCCAGCTATCTTCTCCATCACTTGATACACATTATCTCATTCCTCACCAACATATTAATCCTAGATGAGGAACTGAAATACTCTGCTACCCAAAATGACTTCAAGTCTCTCCCTTCACCTTTATTACTCAACAATTCTTCCTTCTTTGACATTCACTCAACCTAAAATTTCCGCCTAATCCAAACCATGGTGTACTGTAACATCTTCCATGTCATTCTCCCTCTTTTTTCAAATTCAACACTTGGTTTACAGACTTCCTCGCCTCCCCAACTCCCACCCTCTACTACAGGACTTCAACACATACATTGATGCTTTCTTTAATTCCCTCACCTCACGACTCCTCAGCCTCCTTAAATTCTATATCTTCCTCTTTTATTCCACCTTGGTCACACAGAGAGATAGTCACATCGTAGATCTTACCATTATGACAAGTGTTATACTTCCTTAATTAGAAGCTCTGACATTCCTCTATCTCAGTGCTTCTTAAACTGTAGGTTGCAACCCCATATGGGGGTAACTGAATATGGAGGTCGCAAAAAAAAATGGCAACAGTAAAAGGTTTCTGAATGTGCGATGACCAAAAATTAATTTAAAGTCAAATGCATAATGAATCCGAGGTGTTTCTGATAGTGCTTGCCCATGTTGCATTGTGCAACTTCATTGCAGCCTTGATTCTGAACAGAGAATATGTGCACTGTACACTGTGCATGTTGTCATGCCATGTAACACCATGAACACTGCCAGAAACACTTCAGCTTGGATTCGAGACTATTGTATGTTATGAGTTGCAGCGTTTTTACTGTACATACACAGTTTTCTACTCTTTAGTAGAAAAAAAAAAGTATCAAATTAGTATATATTTGGATTGTATTGTGTTGGTATGTTAGATTTTTAAAATTGTTGTTATTTCCTTCTTTTACAGAAACATAAGTATTTAATTGCAGCAAGTAAAGACAAAAGCCCTTTAATGATATTTTTCCACCAACACCACTGTATGTGGACATAAGTGTGAACATTAATTTTTTAAATTAAGCACAAACAAATGTAATTTCATGCACTAATTTCCCTTTCTTCCTTCCTTCTTCCTTCCCTTCCTTATATCTTCTTCTTTTCCCATTTTTCTCCTTCCCTTCCTTCCCATCCTCGCTCCCTCCTTCTCTTCTTTCCTCCTTCTCTCTTTCCCTCTAGTCTGCCTGCTTGCCTTCCTGTGTTCTTGCCTTCTCTCCTTTCTGCCTTCTTTTCAAATTATACTTCTCTAAAGGAAAAAATAAAAACCAACCCTTGTAGATAATTTCAAGGATGTTTAGTTTTAGGTGCGCAGTCACACCATCGGTTGTGGGTTTTGTAAAACACTACCCCATCTTCTTTCACCTATCCTGCCCACGAGGAAGGGCATGGCAGTTCTAATAACATTACGAACCTCCCCCCCTCAATAATGCTTGACACTGTATGTCATGTGGGGAATCTACTTGGAACCTCTGTGGCTTGGAGGCTTAACTAAGGCTAATAATTATCCAACAACAAGTGCAGACACAGAGCTCAGAAAGCTTTGTGAGCCAGGCTTTGGGTGCATGGTACTATAGACAACCAAAACAGTTTTCTGAAAGTAAATGGATTTTTGAGCATGTTGCCACCACTTTTGGCCAGCTGAGTGTTTAATCTCTACCCTACCTACCTGTGTTCTAGTCAAACTGGTCTCGATGCCATTTCCCCAACTCAGCATCCCATTTTTCCCTTCTGCATCTTATACCTGAAATGTTTTCCCCTTCAATGGTTCTTTCTAAGATCTTCCTTCTCTTCAAAGCTCTGTTCATGTGCAACCTCCTTTGGAAGCCTTATCTGATCTCTGTAGCCTCTAACATTCTCTTCCTCCTCATATTATTTTGCCTTTACTTCTCTACTGTGTCTTCCCCACAGAATGTAAACCCCTTGCGGGTAGCAAGACTTTTGAATTTTTGTCTTTGTCTCCTCATTGACTAGCACAGTTTCAGGCACACAGTAAGTGATGCTGGTTCTTGTTGCCATGAATACTTTTTACCCTCTGTTCACATCATCCATATCCTGATAAAGTTTCTGAATCCATGAGTCTTCTTTGAGCTGGAAATCAATCCCATTATCTTGGAAGCTTCAAAAGAACCTTTTTCCCTTTGCTGACCTATAAAACTGGGTTCGATCACCTTGATATCATTACATTATATGGGATGGTTCATGACATACCTTCTCCTTATTCTGACAATTCATGTTCTTCCTCTTCTTCCACCAAACTTGACTCAGGAAATTCACTTCCATCAATCAGTCAATCAACAAATATTTATTAAGTGCTTACTGTGTGTCAGACACTGTGCTAAACACTGGAGGCACTGTGCTAAGTGCTGTATACAAAGCCATCAGGAAACTTTCCCTTATTGATCACTCTTAACTTTAATACTCTTCAGAGACCTTTCAGTACTTTTATTTTTGGTTAACATAATGATAATAATAATAATAATAATATTTGTGTTTTTACAGCATTTTTAAGGCTTACAAAGAAATTTTTAACATGTAAAATTTTTTAATATTTTATTTTTTCCAATTACACATAAAACAATTTTAACATTTGGGTTTTTTAAGTTCCAAATTCTTTCCCTCTCTTCTCTCACCCCTCCCTGAAACAGCAAGCGATTTGATATAGGTTATATATGTTAAGTCATGCAAAACATATTTCCATATTAGTCATGTTGTGAAGAAAATACAGAGAACCCCAAGAAAAATAAAGTAAAAAAAAAAAGTATGCTTTGTTCTGACTCCATTAGTTCTTTCCTTGGAGGTAAATAGCATTTTTCATCAGGAGTCTTTTGGAACTATCTTGGATCACTGTACTGTTGAGAATAGCTAAATTATTCACAGTTCATCAATATTATACAATACAATATTGCTATTATTGTGTACAAAGTTTTCTTGCTTCTGCTTATTTCAATTTGCATTAGTCCATGTAAGTCTTCTCAGGCTTTTCTGAAAGCATCCTACTCATCATTTTTAATAGCACAGTAGGATTCCAACATAATCATATACCACAATTTGTTCAGCCATTCCCCAATTGATGGACATCCCCTCAATTTCCAATTTTTACACCACAAAAGAGCTTCTATAAATATTTTTGTACATATATACCCTTTTTCTTTTCCTGTTTCAAATTTCTGTGCTACAGACCTAGTAGTGGTATTGCTGGGTCAAAGGGTATTCTTAATTTTGGGCATATGCCCTTTGGGCACAATTCCGAATTGCTTTCCAGAATGGTTGAATCAGTTCACATCTCCCTAATAGTGCATTAGTATCCCAATTTTTCCACATGCCCTCCAGCATTTGTCATTTTCCTTTTTTTGTCTTATTAACTAATCTGATAAGTGTGAAGTGGTTCCTCAGAGTTGATTTAATTTGCATTTCTCTAATAAACAGTGATTTTGAGCATTTTTTTCACATGACTACGGATAGCTTTGATTTCTTCATCTGAAAATTGCCTGTTTATATCCTTTGACCATTTATCCATCAAAGTACTTTCTGTGCAGAGGCAAAAAAAACATGAGAAACAGGCAGTGTATACATGTATATACATATATATATATATGTTAGTCCCATTTTATAGATAAGGAAACTGAGGCTAGGAGATATTAAGGTACATACCTAGGATCCAACAGCTAATGAACATCAGAGCAAGGACTTGAACCTGGGTTTTCCAACTTCAAATATTGTTGCAATGTTGTTATATAAGTATTCTTAGGCTTGCCTTATGTCTGGGTGGTCTGATTTTCCAATTGCATGATACATTTCCTGAGGCCATAGATAATTTCTTTTTATTTATTGTGTATCCCCCAAAGTGTCCTGAACAGTGTTTTGCACAACATGGGCATTCAGTAAACTGACTATTCTATCTGGTTACTCTGCTCCATATCCCTTAAAGGTATGTTCGTGTTACCTCTATTTGATCAAAGAGAATAATACAACATGGTCCACAGACAATACTGTGAAACAGATGGGCACGTCTCATTTCAGTACCCTTCCTCCTCTTCCTGGCATTTGCTTTAAGTGTCATGTCATGCTTAGGAGTGATCAGTTACTTCTTCCTTAAGACATCAGCTG